CACGGTGGTAAACTGGCGGTAAAATGGCGGTAAAACGGGAAAGGCGGGAAAAGGCCCCTCTATGTGGCGCTGTGTGGCAACGAATGCGGGTACTCAAAGCTGCTTTGCATAGGTATGTCGTGCCGCGACTAGGATTCGTAAGACGCATAAATTTCGTAGCGACGCTCTCCACGGAGAGAGATCCGCGCGATTCACGAGCGCGACGCGCCCCACGGAATTTTCATTAAGGCTGATTTCATTTCGACGCGCCTCTCCAACGCCGCTTGGTCCGCCTCCAGCTTAGTTCCAGCAGCAAGGACGATCGAAAGCTCGTTTCGCGGATTCGTATGTCCCTCGTAGCTTCCTACCTCTGTAATTTATATAACATGTACGAACATTGGAGAAAGATAGTTACAGAGGTATCTTTTGTATATTTTTTAAGTTTTATATAATATAATAATATTGGTGTCCTCTAGTCTATTGGTATATATAATATAATATATATAACATAAATATAATATTCCACCTATATATGTATACTATATATATTGATATAGTATAATATTGAACCTATATACCTGTATTGATATATTGTATAATATAAATATAATATTGGACTTATATATTTGTATTGGTATATTTTATATATATAATATAAATATAACATTGGACCTATATACCTGTATTGATATATTACATATATAATATAAATATAATATTAGACCTATATATTTGTATTGATACATTACATATATAATACAAATATAATATTGGACCTACATTGATCGCTTTACCAATGTCTCGCGAGGTTCCCCCAAAGTGTACAGGAAAGTAGAAATGATGAAGTTATACTAACGTGACGTAAGACTTGAGCAGTTACGTGGGTACGGATGGCTCGATGACACGAATATATCCGCGAAGGTTACATCGAATCCGAGGCCTTGGCTCGCGACGCGCACGGATTTTGAACTTGGCTCCGACCACGAATCCCCCCGTTCCATCGAGGCACGTGTTTCGCAAGAGGCTGCCGCGGCTCGATGGAATTTCGTCGTCGTGGTCGACGTCGCGGTCCACGTTCTCTCTCTCTCGTGAAAGGTTGCGAAACAGGAAGCTTAAATTTCGGTAGTTGCCACGCCCTCTTTTCTTTTCCTTCTCTTTTTCTTTTTTTTTTTTTTCTTTCTTTTCCTCCTCGATAATTTGTCGGTCTTAGTCCCACCGATAGACAGCTCTCTCTCTCTCTCTTTCTCTCAGACCAGTGTTTCGCTTGGTGAGCGACTGTCCCTCGGTGAAAATGGATCTCGCGTCGTCGCCGATCGTCGCGGCGCAGCACAGTCCCTTTCACCTCGCGGAATTCAGTTTTCATCGAACACGGACCGTTTGGTCTCGACTTTTTGCTTCTCCTCTCTTTCTCTTTTTCTCGTTTCTTGTCCAATTCGCGTGTGACGCTGAACTCGGCTCAGACGGGGCAGATCATTGGAGATCATCCGTATTTAAAGAGAAATCGTCCTCTTCATTAACACCTTAAGCTTCAATGTTTTCGAATTGTTCAGTTAATCCATCATCGTATTATCATCGTTAAGAAGGAATAGTTGTCTGAATTTAGTTGTCTGATCTTCACTGGCATATATCAACTTGATAACATGATGCATGTACAAGTGGCTAATGATAGATTTTTCTACATGATAGATTTTACCTGTATGATTGTCGGCTCTTTCAAACTTTCGTCTTTGTTTCTAGCACGTGTATCGAAGCTTCCTTTCACGCTCCAAACAATCGTCGTGTCACTGTTCGCACGGTATTCAGCCTGTCATTCGCTTCATTTACATAACAGTCGGTGTAACGTGCACTCGAATTCGCTCAGCCTTGCCTGCACGAGCCGCTTGCTCATTCATCACGCGCCTCCGCGTGCTTGCCGATGGATATCGAATCGATTAGAGGCCGCTGCCAGTTCTTCTAATCTATGAACAATCTTTAGATCCTCCTCCATTAGATGCATGGATAATTAACACGTTTGTCATCGTATCTTTCATATTAGGAAACCTGCCCTCGATGTCGCCGCTCGAGATAAATGAACTTGTAAGTAGAAACGACTATGAAAAAGTGCTGGTAAATGACACAGACATGTTTGTCCTTTGAAAACTTGACGATCGTGTGTTAGAATTAATTAAAGGTAAAAAGTAAGGTCAACGAGTCTCATCTTTCCCTGTGAATGTGAGAAATCTCTATAGTTTCAGTTTTCTTTAATCGTTGGAAGAAATGTAAAATCTCTGATCCGACCTCTCTCTGTTCCCTCTTTTCCCTCGCTGATAGAAATCACGTCGCGGATACTCGATGCTAGCCTGCCTAGCGGTCGAGCAAACATTCTATTTTGATACGAGGAAATCTCGTTCGATTCCAGAGATAAGATGCTCCAATTTCGGTTCGTCACAGCCGATCTATCCATCGATTCGTACAACATTCGTGTCGTTCTTACTTTTCATTAACTGCAATAATCAACAATAAGTACATTCGACAGTCGTGACGTATCCACATATATACACGCACGTACGTATTATGTATATGAAAATAAAAAAGAAAATGAACCTTTTTGTAACAAGAGAAGACACTCCTAGAAAAGGTCAGATTCCATCCGATCCAATATTTTCTGTGTCCTTCAAATGAGAAAGAAGTAAATGAAATTGATTCCCAGCCGAATTACTTCAACTCTAAATATATGTCAAAACTTGAAGAATTACGGGCTTGAAAAATGCCCGATAAAATCGTAACGAGACGTGTCGGGCGTGGAAAAAGGTTAGGCGACGTCCTAAAAATTTCGAATTCCGGATCGACGTGTCGCGTGTAGCGTATAGCGTGTAGCGTGTAGCGTGTAGCGTGTAGCGTGGCGTGGCGTCGCGTGGTGGCCAGGATCCCGCGAACCGCGCCACTTTCCAGCAATTATCGAAGCAACGGAGCCTCTCTCGGCGTGGATCCCACACCGGCTTCAATTTGTAGGCTGGCATTAATTCAATTGCCCCGGCGACAGTTACCAAGGTGGTATACGTGTGGGCGTTTTATCGCCTCGACGGTTATACGCGTCCGACGTTCTCCTCTCTTTCCACCTCTCCTCTCCTCTCCTCTTCTCTCCTCTCCTCTCCTCTCCTCGCACCCTCGTGGTTCCATGGGTATCTCGCTTTCTCGTTCGATCCAGCCGTCTCTGTTTCGCGTCGACGCGCTAGCCGTTCCGCGTTCCAAGTTGCGAGGTGCTTCTCGAACGCGGCGATTCCACGGAACACGAAAAATTCACTAGCCTCTCGTACCGTTTCGCCCGGGCATTCTGATTTGTAATACAGGCTCTGTCGTCAGAAATCGCGAGAGCTTGAGCGTCTAGCTTGTTTAACAATATTTCTCCCTTAAAGGAAGCGTTCTCGCGATAAAATCGAATGATTTTTATAAATTTTTCCTTCTCTTTTTTTTTTTAGAAAATTATTGACGATGAGAAAGATAATAATTCGCGGGTACGGAAATATGAGGGGAAAAATCTTCATTTTCGCATTAATTATTGCTATTGTCTTTGACCATGTATGACGATTGTTGGTATGCAATGGTACCACTTGTCACAGTTATCAGAGCCTAAAAAATAAAAAAATTTTTTAGAGTTTTGATTTATGCTGAGATTATACCTGCTTTCAACAAAATTAAAGTTGGACTCAGAATCGAAAATTAATTTAACTGTTTTTGTTAGATAGGTTGAGATTATAACAAAAATAAATATTATAAATAAAATTTTTCATTGTCCTACCAAATTGTCCTACGCGATAATTCTCCACAGTGTACCATTTATTACAATTATCAGAACCTAAAAGACAAAAAAATTTTCCAAAGTTAGATGATTTGTGCTGGGATGCTACCGTTTTCGAAGTTGCAAAAAATTAGTCAGATTGTACAGATTTCGATCGACAATTTAACTTGACTGTCGTGGATAAGTTGAGATCATAATAATTATAAATATTATAAATAAAAGAACTGTAACGAATAAAATAAATTTCGTTCCAAGTTGATTTGTCAATTAGTTATTGGGTTATCTCGCACACCTAACCTAAATTTGCATTCTCCGAGGGCTCATCGCATTTGCTAATCGTCAGAGATCATTATTAGTCTTCGTAGATAAACAATGATTTCAAGTTCCATTCCGGATCACTCCCGACGTGTCTCACTAATCTCCAATTTCTTGATTTCCGTGAATTTAACTACAAAAATCAATTTGACTTTAGAAGCTCGTTGTACATTTCATTTATATAAACAAAAAATCGACCTGTACATAAGAATCCGCCTTTGAACGCGAAAGTAAAACATAAACTGTCAGATATTTGTGCATCTACTTACATATTTGGATTTGGAATTGAAATATTAAAATCATGATCATGTCGAATCATCGATAGAGATAGTTCTGGAGAATTTTGCTATTGGCGTTCTGCATCAGTTTCCTATAGTATATATACTCTGAAACTTTGAGGTTATGAAAGATAGATCACTAGAAGAAAAAAAAACAGCAACTTTCGATAACTTTTCCTGGTGATAGGCGATCACAAATATGTGAAAATTGTAAGCAGAACATGGAACAAATCCGGCATCCGATCCGTGGAAGCCGGCTGGATGATAAAGGAATTTGTGTAAGAAGGTGGCGTGGAATTCGATCATGAGTGATTCCACGGTTTTTCGCGGTAGTGCGCACGCGTGGCAGCCTGAAAGCAGTTCGCCCGAGCGAACTTTGTCTCCGCTGACAAATTGCCTGGGATCGAGTTGACCAGCTGGACGCGGTCTATCATCGTGACGAACCGCGATAACTTGATGATGGATAAATGCGCCGTTCAACGAGTCCGATGTACAGTAATACCGTTGCGGTAGATCAGCGGTAAACAATGCGGCGAACAGAAGAAAAAGCGTCGATGTTTCTGCGTTCGATCGTCGATCTGCCGCTGGAACTAACAGCAAAGCTTGAGCGGAATTAAACCATTTGAATGTTTCACAAGGTAAGCGTTTCCAATTTACTTCGCGTCTCGTTGAACTCTTTTAGGTTAGTCTCTCACGAGACGCGATTTGAGAAATTTGACCGCCATGTTGAGAAGTTACGATATGCACATTTCTCGTGTTTGTTTGGTTAGGTTTCGGTGGAAACTAGGCGCCGAGAGGGGAGGGACTTAATGACCTTTAAAACCAAAGTCACGAGAAAGCGGGAAGCTAACGGATCAGAAATGCAAACTACCGAGTACGCCCAGTAAATAAAGTTTTACTAGAAATGTCTTCGCTCTCGTTTGCTCCGTGTAACTTCCGCTCTCCCGTGATCCCGGCAAACTCTTTTCCAAACATTGTCGAAACTTCGAGTATCCTGCGTCCCTTTCACCGTTTTGTAACGCAACGTTGTACAATGACAACAAATTGTCATTCGAAACGTGTTGCAGGTGTCTCTCTCGACGCGTTAAATTCCCGTAATAAAATCCTGTGACGTTAATCGTTCTCGATGTACTTAGCACGCGCAGTTTGACGGAGGGGGGGGGGGGGAGTGGCGAGAAATAGGTTCGCGCCTGTCGTGGAAGCGAGCATTTAAAACGACATCAAAGAGTGGATCTCGCGTATTTGCTTAGAAAGCCGAGGATAACAGAGAAACGTCGTTGGCCAGCTGCTATCGATGTTTGTTAAACTTCAAAGCTGCCGGGCGCTGACGTCATTGAGGATTTGTCGTAGGGACAAAGTGAAGGGTTCGAGAAAGTGTAACGCGCGTTGCTACCGTGGGCGCGATTGCACAGTTTCCCTCTTTCGTCGATATTTCAGGCGGAGCAGCTTGAAACGCATCGTGTCGTCGTCAAACAGAAAGAGAAAAAAAAAAATAGCGTTCAAAATGGGGAGAGAAAAAAAAACGGAGAGAAGAAACTTGATATCGAGTATTTAACTCTACAGAGGAACGTTGTACAGAAACGCTTGAAAACGATCGGTTAAAAAGTTATTACAAAACGCACTTTGCCGGCCGATGTTTCTTAAACGTCTCGCCGATTATCCTTGCCTACTTTACCACGCGACTCCGATGTATGTATGTGAGTGTGTGCGTGTGCGTGTGTGTGTATCTCCGCACGAAGAGAGCGCGGATAGTAGCGCAAGTAAAAAGAGAAACAAACGAGGGAGTAAAAAGAAAACAAACGATGCAACGAGAGGGGTGGGGGGAAAAAAGAAGAATAATAAACCGACAGTCGATAAAGAGAATAGAACGATAAGGATCTGTCGAGAGTCGTCCCGAACGCGCAGCGTGTAGTATGTATGTATATATATGTAGTAAGCAACAGCGGAATCGTGTATTAAATGCCGGCAAAAAGAGGCGAACGACAAGGGAAATATATCTTTCTGGCTTGTCAGGATACATTTGTCACGTTTGTCCGCTATTTTATCCCATTATTGCCTCCCTCTCGGTTTTACTCTCTCTTTCTGCCGGCCGCAGAAAGATTTAAAGGTAAACACTCGAAAAGTTTCCGTCCCCGTTTCCTCGGTCTCTTTTTTTTCTCTCTCTCTCTTCCTCTCCGTGGTTGCGAATTTCACGGCTTCGCAGACGGGGGACGAAAGTGTGACGGAAGTGTGAATCGCACTCGTGCGCAATTTGTCAGAAAACAGTCGGTGATAAATGTCGGTGAATAAAAAGAGACGCGAGTTGAGCCGTGGCAATCAATCGGCAGAGTAAAGGAAAAATAGAGGACGAATATAAAGCGACGAGTAAAGGAACGAGGATGAGAGACCCGGTCGTCACGTGGTCAGATCTCGTCCACTCGTGCGGAATATTACGACTCGGTGACGTCTGTTAGAACAGTTCCGCTTTAAAAAGAATACTTTAAAAGCCGGAGGGTTTATAACGGGCTGGGGTATATAGCACGGCGTATAGTATAGGGAAGGAAGAACTACATATAGAGGTGTAACGAGCAGAACTCAACTCACGAACTCACTCCCAGTTTTTAGTGGCAACTTGTTGCTCTATGCCCATTCATACGGCTCTAACTCCCATTACGTCACGTCACATCAACTTATAATAATGGTAATAGCAGGACCGTCTGCGAAACCCGAATTCGAAACACGATTATTCCTGTCCACGGGACTGGCTAAATGTTTTCCCTCGCCGTGTCGTGGTAAATTAACCTTCGCACTTTTTCCCTGCTTTTATACGCGAATGCCATTCAATCACTTTCACGGGATATCGTATTGTACGAATTTAGTTACCGTTTTTTTCCTTTCTCTCTCTCTTTTCCCTCTTTTTTCTTTTTTACTTTTCTCTCACCGACATTTTACTTTACTTCACTTATTCGTTCGTCTCTTTTATTAGCGATTTATTCCTTTCCGTAAATCTACTTTCGCGGTTTACGAGCGGAATATTTTTTTCTTTTTTTTAAATCTTTCACCTCGATCGTCGATTCTTGGTTATGTTCCCGAGCCAAATATCCTTCTTTCACATTTGCATTGTATTATATTGATATTGTCCAACTGAAATTTCATCGAACTTTCAACAATGTTCCTTGCGATGCTCGTGTTCAATATATACTTTCTATGTATCCAATTATATCGTGCAGATTATGCAAAAAAGTGTTGCTGTTGCTAACGTTACATTTTTCATCGATTCGTGCGGCACATGGTAATCGGTCTGCCTCGACTTCACACTTCACACTTCACACTTCGCATGCTGCGCGATCATGAATATTGCCCCGTTTCGAACGACTTGCAAGCTGGTTATCGAATATTCGCGAGCGTTCCAGATCCTCGTCCTCGACACATCTCGTCGTCGTTGGCATTATTTTACGTTTCGTAAAGTCAAGAAACTCGTCTGTCTGTTGAATCATAATGTCCTTTGTCCAGTGTCAAGTATAGACTCTTCTAACCTCTATTCATTTTTAGTACTAATCTGGACGAGAATTCAGTGGTCCATCGTCGTCGATCATCTACACAATTGCAGAAAGTAAGGTGGGAAATTAATCAAAAAGAAGATCAAGAGTGAAAAATAACAAAGCAAGTTGTAAAAATGGAGAGCGTGTCATTTCGCGTGGCTTGCAAACGCCATTACATTAAAAAGGCGGCCATGTTGGGAAGCGCGGGATTTTGAGAAGTTTTTAAACGAGATTCAGAAAGTTCGTAATGTGCGTTTGAATAATTAACAAACGTCGTAAGTTCGAGAAGAAGAAGAAGAACAAGAAGAACAAGAAATAACGAAGGCGTTCAAGGGAACGAGAAACGTAAATAAAAAAAGAAGAAAAAAAAGAAAAGGCAGAGTCAATTCAATTCATATTTCCGCGAGGAGACATCTTTTTTCACGGGCTGTACCACCTGTTACGAGCGTAACCTTGTAAACGCTACACTGCAGCTGTTTGCGTTTTACTCTTCATATCTGTTGCCATCTACATACATTCGACCGCTTCTTTAACACTGGGGCGTACACGTGTACAGGGTGATCCCGGAAAGTAGGCCGTGATGCAGCTTCTCTTGAGATACAACGTTGCTCACATGCATTTTGCCTCCGTCAAATTTCAAGTGACGAAATCTAGGCCTCGTTTTAAATACGTTATTACAACTTTTTTCAATCGGCCCATGATATACAATACGACTCAAAATACGTAGCTTTTAGGAAAATTATAATTTCAATTGCTGTCGGATGCATCGTATTATGTAAATTGTCACGTCTTAATTATTCGTTTCAATTTGATCGTTCAACAGTTTACATCTCCCCGTGAACGACCTTGTAAATACACAGTTTATCCCCAAATAACAACGACGCGCCGTTTTATTACGGGTAACTTCATCTGGTTTCAAGGTCGTTTGTCACGAGATCAAACTAGTATATCCCGGGACTTTATTACAGGCGTGTACACAATTCTCGCACGTACGAACAAATACGAATGCGGGGATCATCGGGGCAGAGGAAGAATCCGCCGTATGCGAGAAGAGGCTGCAAACGAGTGAGATCGTCTGGCACGTATCGTGCGTTTAAACGACCTGGTCGGTCAGTGTAAACGCCGTGGTTTAATTTGAATAATAAGCACGGATACGTTAACGACCCCTTCGGTCAGGTTCACAGGAGACTTCACGACATCCAACCTCTTGCCCTCCCTACGTTTACCATCGTCTTCGCGAGTGTCTCTTCAAATTTCCCCCTTCGATTTTTCTCGCTCAAAGTACTCGCCTTCGTCACGTCCGTTCTTCAATTTTACGTATAGGGTGGGCCAATAGTTTCTCACCTTTTTTTTTTTTTTTTTTTTTAATAAAACCAAAATATAAGAAAAAACTAATTTTAAATTAAATTGAAGCTCAAACACGATTTTTCCGTTATGTTTCAAGAATTATTTCTTTCGAAGGGTTGAGAAAAATTACGAATTTATTTTAGTAGAAAGTGATTTTTGGCCCAGCCTGTAAGCACACTCGAAGAGTATGTCTACTATATTATAAAATTCGAGAATCGATCTTTTTTATTTCCACACATCTTTTGAAGATTCGTAGGTCATTCGTGTTGTTGGTTCTTGTATGTATGATTCCCATGAGTAATGATGCTTTGCTTTGAATATTTCCTTATGATAGACAGAGTTTAAGTATATATCAAATTGAGAGTATTGAAAAAAATTGAAAATCTCGATTGACATCCTCTCTAATAATAAGTGAAACATTAATCGTAGTTAATAATTTAGTTAAATTTTAATTTAACTTTTTTAGTTTAGTTTAATTGCTAGTTAAAATTAGTTAATAACATCAAATTTCCATCAGAGACACAAGTCCAAAATAAAGAGAAACTTTATAATACAGTGGAGTATACAAACTTTTATTTGTATATTTTTTACGAAAAATTATTTAAATCTTCGAAAACACGCTATTTCACGACTGTAAAATGTTTAACGAAAATTATAAATTCGTCATTTTCATCACTCTGTTTCTAGTGTTAAAAAAAAAAAGTGTATTTTGCTTTTCGATAATTTGTTGTTAACCAACAAAACAATAACGAGTGGAAAAAATTGAAAAAATCGAAGATCTCGATCAACGTCCCCCCTAACCTAATCTAAACCTAACCCAACAATAATGGAGACGTTGATCCTGAATTGAAACAAAGTATATTTTGCTATGATAATTTGTCGTTAACCAACAAAACAATAACGAGTGGAAAAAATTGAAAAAATCGAAGATCTCGATCAACGTCCCCCCTAACCTAACCTAAACCTAACTCAACAATAATCGAGACGTTGATCCTGAATTGAAACGAAGTATATTTTACTATAATAATTTGTCGTTAACTAACAAAACAATAACGAGTGGAAAAAATTGAAAAAATCGAAGATCTCGATCGACGTCCCCCCTAACCTAACCTAAACCTAACTCAACAATAATCGAGACGTTGATCCTGAATTGAAGCGAAGTATATTTTGCTATGATAATTTGTCATTAATCAACGAAACAATAACGAGTGGAAAAAATTGAAAAAATCGAAGATCTCGATCAACGTCCCCCCTAACCTAACCTAAACCTAACTCAACAATAATCGAGACGTTGATCCTGAATTGAAGCGAAGTATATTTTACTATGATAATTTGTTGTTAACCAACAAAACAATAACGCAACAAACTGTCAGCCTCGAAGGTTTCGCACGATACGTGGTTTTGCATGCGAGTCCCGTTAATAAACAGGAGGAAAACAGCCTAATAGAAGGCAAGGGAGGTCGGAATGACTTTCCGTAATATACCCTTTTACACGCAGCCGCGAGCGTAAAGCGTCGCATTAAACTTTTACGATATTCTCCGAACGCCATCCACCGAAATCATTATTATCCCAGGACTCTCTTATAATTCACCGAGCCAAGCCAAGCCAAGCCAAGCCGCCAGTCGTCGTCGGTGTGCAACACTAGCATTTTATCGGGCGCGGCGTCGTCGCCGCGCTTTTTCCGCGACCGTGCGCGCGCCAGCAGGCGAGCGAGCGAGCGAGCACACGCTTCAGAATTAAAGTGTGTTTTTTTCCACGGCTCTACGTGACCGCCTTCCTTTCTTCGAGGGTTGTCCTCCCTTTTCCCCTTCCCTCGCCGCTGTTCCCTTCCTTCCCCCCCCCCCATAGCGAGCGGACGTGGAACGAAAATACCTCGCGGCTGCCGCGGAACGAACCCCTCGTTCCCGGATTCCTCTCGCTGCCGCGTTGGGATTCGAAGGACGCGGGGGAACCCTCAACCCCTCAGCCCCTCGACCGAGAACAGACGCCGCGTCGTCCTGACGTGCCTGGCCGACGTGCACGGTAATTTTCCCGATTATTTCGAGTTTCGTTTTCTCGTCTTTTCTGTCTTGCTTTTGCCTATTCGCGCGTGTCGTCCGTTCGTCATCCTCTTGTTCGAAATTCATCAGTGCCATCCTTGTTGTTGCCATCGTTGCAAACACCGTGAAAAAAAAAGTCCGTTCTTAATACTGATGATGAATGTCATGCTGGTTGAGTGTACGACGCTCGCACGATCGACGAACGGAACAAATCACCAAGCTTAAAACAATAATTCGCCGCTTTCTTTTTGAACTCGTCGATATAACATCACTGGACAGAAATTATTACTAAGAAGTAGTAAA